TATATATATATATATATATATATATATATATATATATATATATATATATATATATATATATATATATATATATATATATATATATATATATATATATATATATATATATATATATATATATAGCATTCTACACAACTTACATGTTGCATATATAATCTAATAAACATATTTTTAATTTTTATTTCTCTAAATACAGGATCATCTAAAATTGATTCCACTAATGTATCTTAAACATATGAACCTTCTACCTTACCATTTAAATTTAAAATATATCGAGTGTGTCCACCATATCTATTTTCTTACATTGTTTATAATGATTTATACAAAAAGACAATAGTTGTATTATCATATTTAAAGAAATTAGTAGAATGGGTTGTAAACATAGATCAATTCTCTTCTGTTTCTTATGCACTTAAAAGCGCGATGAAGCGTGTGTATAATTGTTTCGTGGTTGGAAAATTATAGATGATTTTTTGGGAAATATGTACTGGAACGTGTTTGCAAAGTATATTCTTTCTCGAACGTTTTCGATGATGCGAGTTTATAGCCGATGATGATCACTCTCCTTCTGTATTTGTAATAAGCATCATAAAGTAAATATTATAATTTTTTATCTAAAAACTTTAAATATTTTTTTTATTATCCACTAATACTTGTTACATTGATGTAGATGGTTCAATGAATAAATAAGAAAGAATATTACTTACTTACATTATTTTGACATATATGTCAAAATAATTAGCACATTTTTTTTAAGAATTAAATATAAAAGTAATTACATTTATAACAACTAATATTATACCATAAATATTTCGATTAGAAACACTAATTAATATTTAATTTCTTACACATAAATACTCACTTATCAAGTCTTGATCATTTTACAAAGTTATAAATGGAAATGATAATTTTTGTTACATGTAAATTTTTACAAAGCTATAAATGGAAAACAATAATTTTAAAATGGAAAATACTAATTTTAAAATGGGACATACTTTTTATTTGATTTAGAATTTTTTATATATACGGAATAAAATTAATGCTCTATTAAATAAGCATGCCCATAAAAATCCATTTCCTTTTATATATTTGTTTCTTTTTTTAAATAATTAGAAAATCTCTCCAAATACTATTAATTCAAAGCAAAAAAATCAAATATAATTTCGTTTAGTCCTACCAATCTATCCGTTCTTAAAGTAAATTTATTTGTTTTGATTATAGTTTTTGAATAGGTGGTTTTTTCAAATTTCAAACTATACTATTTAATTTAAATATTTTTCAATAATGAATGAAAATATAAAAGTTTTTAAAGGCGATTATATGGAGAAATTTATGTGTAACAAATATGAAATTTAATTTCCGCATAATAAGTTTTTTTGTTAACTATTTTTTAAACATTACTTGCTAACATGTCATGCTGATATGTTTAAAAAGTTGTCTAATAAGCACGCCACATGTCACAATTCTAGAAGCCCAACCCTTTTGGAATATTGAGGAAGTTGATTTTGATGACGTGGCTGATGAAGTGTCAAAAAAAGATCCAGTCAGCACGCCAAATGTCGCAATTCTGAGAGTTCAACTCCCAAATATTATATACTCCCTCCGTCCCAAATTATTTGCCACATTTGTATTCCCGAAGAAAAATATCAAGTTTTTTCAATTTATTTTATTTACATATTGGTATAGAAATAAAAAATAAAATTTACATATAAAAAGACTATATGAAAAGTTCTTCGAAATAAGAGGTGTCAAGAATATTTTATTTTATCAAATAACCAATGAAAACGTCAAAATAAACAAAAGTTCCCGCGACTGCTGAAAAAGCAAATGTTGGGAATATTTAGGGACGGAGGGAGTATAAAGGATGTACCATTCATTCTCTTCAAATTTAGAAAATATAATCCCATAGTCTACTTAAACATACATTACTCCCGAAAAGTCATCGTCATCTTCCTCATCTTCTTCATGGTTGAAACTGCTGCAAATATCCACTAAGCTCTCCTTCTACAATCCACACCATCATCATCTTATGTCACGATCGATCCACTGCTTCGTCATCGTCATCTTCTTCCACGATATATCCACGCTGTCTGAATTGCTTTGTACTACCTTCGTTTTCCAATCGTACGCAACTAAGGTTTGCCTCGACCGCGCTGCTCTTGATAACTAATTTTTGCCGGCTGTACGGTTCTTCCCGTATAGCCGGTCGTAGGATATAATTTGCGACTGTACAATGTTGATTCTTTATTCTTTAATAAGTTGAAAACATGGTAATAAATTTAATTCTTAAACAAATACTCCGTAATAAAGTTAATAGGGCTAAAAACAGTAGTTATTGGGACTAGTTCTGTTGATTCTTTCCACCAACTCGCCACTCCCCTCTTCGCAGTGGCCCACCTGCGACACACATTAGCCTCTCGCAATTAGTTGCAACCCGCATTAGTGACATGACCCGATCGCGTCCTCCATTGCAGCGGCAACGTCAAGCGAGCTTGGGTTTCAAAGGCCCCTCGTCAACTTGCATTAATTTTCAACTTTGCTCCCATATGTACAAGAAGGAGTGAAGAGTCAGCTCTACAATATGCTACCTCCGTTCAGAAATATTCTTCCCGACTTGGCATGCTTATTAAGGAATAGTAAAAAATGCAAAATTTTCAAAAATACACATACTATAAACTTTTAAATCTCGTTTTCTTATTAAAAAAGTATTAAAAAAGTAGATTGGTGATAAAATAAAAATGTATTATTGAAATTTATCCTTAAAAAGTATACTAAAAAAGGAAATGGTAAGAATATTTCCGGACGGACCAAAAAGGAAAATAGGAAAAATATTTCCGGACAGAGGGAGTAACTTGCAGTAAAACATTGGTATTATATGGAGTACTCCGTATTAGTTACACCCTTAATGCAATGCATTTAAACCGTATACTCCCTCTGTCCCAATTTATTCTTCCCACTTTTGAAGAACATGGAATATCCTATCTATTCTAAAACGACTTTATTTACATATTAGTAAGCAAATATAAACTACAAATTAAACCTCCCAAACTACATTAAAATTCTACAACCAATAAGTGACAAGAATATATTATTCTATAAATGATCAATGAGAACATACATTCAAAACATAAATCATCAAGAATCAATAATAGTAACTTGGAAAACTAATTTGGGACCTAAAGTAATAAACGAATGAAGTGTAAACTCTGTATAAACTAGTGAAGTATAGTGAGTCATTTTAATTTAATCCATTGTTTACCTCAAACAAAAACATAGGGCGTAATTCTTATTTGCTCCATCGACAATAGAGGTGATTTTCCTTTACTTGAGAAGAGAAAGATTATCTCTGAGACGTGATGACCCCACCTAGGGATGACAATTCAACCCGAACCCGAGCTTAACCGACCCGACCGACCACTAAAATATCCGAACCCAAACCGAGAATAAAATAATCCAAACCCGACCCGAAATTTTTCACCCGAACCCGACATCGGGTCGGGTCGGGTGTGGATTTATAATTTTACCCGACCCGCACCCGCACCCAACCCGACTAAAACCCGAATATTTTATTACATAAAAGCCTATCTATGAATATAATAAGCACTCCGTATAATTTCTTGGCAAAGTGCTACTATATCAAGTATGTTTTTTATAATCATTTTTATAATTCCTTAATAAAAAATGAGACATAAAAAAGAGACATGAAAAAAATTAGATTTAATCATTTCAAAATTATTGGGATACGTCGAATTGATTATTGGTTAAAAGTCGGGTTCGGGTCGGGTTCGGGTTTTTAGCTTAAAAGGTCGGGTTTCGGGTCGGGTTCGGGTTTTAAAAGTCGGGTCGGGTTCGGGTGTGGTACTATCCGACCCGAACCCGAC